GGTGGCCCGTCCTACGTACGGGAATCGAGTTGTCAACTAAAACGGAATAATTCAGAACATCTAGTTTGCACGCGTAGACACAACTTCTGGCAGTTTTAATGGGGAAGATCACCATATAAACAAATGTAACGTGGCCACCTATTTATTCCATTCGAATATAGACCTAAAATATGGCGATATGTATTTTAAATCCGATAATTTTACCATAAAACAGCATTTGTGTCGATTTGAAAAATTTTGAAGTGAGATTGGCGACCGATTCACACTGGTTTTGAGTAGAGTAGCTACATTCCACCTCCAATTGCATACTGTACTACTTATGTACTTACCGTACCTTATCTTACTTCCATGACCACTGAAACTTTTATGAGGATTCTCTTCTATCACCTGCCTCTTAAAAATTTAGATCCCAGTCTGAGGATGCATTTCATAACTTGATATTTCCCGTCTATCGTGTGGTACTCCTTGGAATATACTGTTTTAAGTATATGCACAGCCTGTCCATCCAAGCTTTACCTACTTCTGGAAAGCATCCCTATATTTGGGTGTTAACACATTTCTCTTAGCTCTCTGTTCTTTTTTTTATTTCAACCTCCGGGCCGTTATTTTGAACTGGTCTGTATATTTTCTCTGCACTTTATTATCTAACCCATCATTAAGGTTTTTCGGTTCTTTGGTCAGTGCCCAAGTTTCTGAATCATCAGTACTACGGGGATAGTTGGTATGGTATGAGTCGACTTTGGTTTCTGCTGCACTCTGCAGTTTATTTAATAGTTTTATAGAGACCTACTACACCGATTGACGCTTTCATTACTAACCAAAATTTTAGTATGCCGACATACTCACTTTCAAACATACAGAAAAAGAAGTATCAACACGTATTTCACTAATATCTTTAACAATTAAGCTATAAACTGCTGAAAAAATATTTCCCAAATATGAGTTGAAATTTGCAATGCATAAACTAAATACTTACACAGATTGCATTTACGACAAAACTTGATTAAACGCAAGTGTTTGAGATGTTTAGTTCAAAATAACACATTTACTGATAACGCAGATCCTTCACGGTAAGGGAAAACTACCTACATTTTAAAGTGAAATATTATGCAAGCAAACACCAACGAAAAATATTTTTGTTAACAAACAACTCGTAATTACATTACAAACATTTCAATGACAGTTATAAACCAGCTGTTAGTTAAACCAGCATTGAAAATACTTTAAATTGCTAGCGTCGGCTGCTAGAATTTTTAAAAATTAAAACTTAATTTCTAAAAAACTGAAACCCTAAACTTAAATTATGGCTTCGACATTCCCTAGTTCTCAAAATTATCTTTCTTTCAACACAAAAATCATGAAAATCCGTCAAGTGGTTGATTCAGAATCGTGAAATAAAAAAACCCTGTTTCGTTTTAATATTATAGATTTCCCAGTATAATATAGGGGTATTGACAAAAAAAAAGTAATAAAAAGTAATTGCGGAGGTTATGATTGTGTGCAGCCAAGGTAAATGTTAAAAAAAAATTTTTAATACAGTACGGTACTTAGAAAAAATTGTTGTCAATTTAAAATCTTTTTTTACATGACACTCTTTTATCTAATTTTCCTAGGGAAGTATCTATTACCGTAGGTAGCACTTAGTTCCGGGACCAATAAACTTTTCTATTTTGATGTCCCTAGAGGCCAAAAACACTGTTCGTTCAAAATTGTATATATGTATAGCCTATATATAAATGTATTATATATACGTCCATAAAAGTGATAACTTGAGTAATTTTTGTCTGATTTTGATAAAATTTGGTATGAAAGTGTTAGGCGCGATTCTCCTTAAGAGTCTTCCTTAGTGGAAGCCATGTTGGATTTCTTTCTAATAAGAACAATGTTAAACATTACATCATTTGTGGACACGTAACGGCGTTATTTGTTAAGATATAGCTTTGAAATTTATAATTTGTATTTTTAACATAATAGACTCGTGACTGAGGTTTTTGAATTTCGAAAATCCATTTTCATTTCCTTTCAATAATTAGCTTAATTTTAAGCTAATTAATAATCAATTATTCATTATAAAAATTAAAAATTGTGAAATAAAAAACGTCAATCTCTAGAGGACCGCAATTCCTTAAATTTAACTCCTTATCCATAATTATATGACAATTTGCTGATGAGATATTTGGACCCAAAGTTAACATTGTTCTTATGGGGAAGAAATCCAACATGGCTTCCACTAAGGAAGACTCTTAATGAGTTCGCGAACCAGCATGATCAGACCAAGGGAACCCGGAGTTGTATAGGATAAAAATAGTTTTTTTCTCAATTTTAACCCCTATAACATAAATCTTTGTCTTAAAAATATTTTAAAGAGTAAAGAGTATTTTAAAGAGTATAAAAAACAAATTAATATCTTAAAATGTTTTGTACGGTTACTGGCTACAGAGACTATTGGTAAAATTGTAAATTTTAAATTCCCATGTGATTCTTATGGAGAATAAGTTAACTGTTCTAGTGTGGTCGTTTATGGATATATTTTTATGAAACTTGGCAAATTTATTTATTTTTTATAAAGCTGTTAATATTTTGTTAAAAAACACACTTTATTACCCTCCCTGTAGCAGCATACCTACACCGTAGGTAGTTTCAGGTGCTTGTTAACCCTTTCAGTGCTAGGCCAATAATTCATATTTTGTAAGACTTTTTTGTTTGCCTTTTTAATTACATTACCTGTTGTTGAATTTTAACTGTCATGTTGTCACTATTTTATTAATTAGGCTAATTTTGAATAATAACACAATAAGAAAATATATAAGAAAGATAAATCCCGGTATTTGTAATAAACATTAAATAAAACTTAGTTTTTGTTGTAATTTTCCTGGTTTTCCTATAAATTTTTATGTTTTGATAGCATTATTTGAAACCGAAATCTCATAAAATCAAAAGACATATAGTTTACAATGTAATATTGAATTTAACCCTGATTTAGTTGGACGAGGTTATCGTAATATAGCCATTTTAGGGAAACTAATGTTTTGCAGCAAAGTCTCAGGAACACATTTACTACTACTAAAACTAAAAGATTGCATCTAAATAGTCCGTGACTTACTGGTGCTGCTACCTAGTAACGCATTGAACAACCATCTGCAGGGCCATCTGTTCGCAATCGGTGGCGACAGCTTAAATACCGGTTTTTAACTCCCCAGTCTTCAAGCACAGATAGCCGAGAAGGCTAGGGCGTGTGTCACTTGGCCAGTGGCATTCGTCTGCTCGGGTTCGAATCCCGTCCTGTGTGGTAAATAATTGGTGACCTGTGTGTTTGTAGCGATATACTACAACCACTGGGGCATAGTGAGGTGTTCATAATCCTTGGTTTAGACATATACCTCGAAATCATCGGATTGGGCGAATCTTTTAGCTAAGTGGTTGGTAGTGTATCCTATGAACATGCAGGTCACCAATGGCCGTTTTGCTATTTTTTTTTTAAATAACCTTCCTCTCTATATCCCTTAGGGTTTTTTTAAAACAACGATGTATCGTTTCATAGCACTGAAAGGGTTAAACCTAAAGTTATTTAAATAAATTTAATTGAAAGCTCTATTAGGTAATTTGGAAATTCGCTTAGTCTGCAGGTTTTCTGTGGCGGGTTATTGATATAGGTACTGTATATATTTTCTTATACTCCAAATAATCTAGGTACTCCATTTTGATGTAACTAGCACTTGGTCAATGACACTGACACTGAACTGAGCTCTATCACAACGCAATTAAAAGAAAACGATTATGACTGTGAGCTATTTGCAGTTTTTTATGTTTTGTTTACTATCTCTTCACTCTTTCGTAGAGGGTGAGTGGGGGGTATGCATGTGGTTGCTAATTATTTCCTTACTAATAAAATATTTATAATTAAGGTACGGGTGATTATAGCCAAACTCTCAGTTGAAAGAAATTCTATTTAGGGTCCATATTTGTATTGCAGTTAACAGTAAAAACAAAAACCAAATAATCTTTCGTTAAATTTAGCTTTCTGCAAGATTGTCGTTTTATTTTGAACAACAGAAAACTAAAAAAAAGTTTTATCAAATATACTTTGAGAGGAATGAAAATGTTCGGAATTTAATAACGAATTCCAATATAACAATCTTTTAGTTAATATGTAAACAATTAACTTGCTAATGAGCTAATACCGGCATGATGTCGACTTAGACCTGCCCCCTGGCAGGACTAAAGTTGGGGACTAAACTCACTGATTTTTATGACGAAAACATATCTCTTAGTCCCGAAATTGGTCTCCCAAACCCACCGAGACTATCTCTTAGGCTGGCGCCTAAGTCTACTTGACTCCCAAACCAACAATATTTAGGCGCGAGATTATCCCTGCGCGCGCCTTACTGATCCCGAGCTCACAAACCCGTTTTCGAGGCGGCAGCCTAAAATACCGGAAATATTCGGATTTAGTCGCAGACTAGCGCTAATACCGAGCTCCCAAACCGCCCCTAATAGTTACTTTAATCACTTAGAAATGACGTAAGATATACATTTTCTGGTGAGGAAATATCCTAGGCTAACAAATAGGTTAGGCCTAGTCATTTTACATAAGTAAACGTACCTTTAAACGGCCATAGTTCCATTTAAAGATCATGATCACAGTATTAGTTATACAAATTTATAACTAATACTGTGATCATGGCCTTAGTGCCAAAACACGTATAAGTTTGATAAAAAATGTATTTCAGGGTACGCTGGTTTTTTTATTATTTCACTTATTTGGATATATATATATATATACACCTCCTATAGCCTATATATATATCTATATCTATAAAAATTTGAACCAATGGTGTTTTTGGCCTCTGGCCAAAATTTCGGTCAATCGGTCCTGGGCCTAGGTCTTACCATGCCACCTACGGTAATACTGTAGCTACTTTCCTATAGGGAAATTTGCTAATAGCAATTTCAAAAATTTCAAAAAAATGCTTGCAGTTTCCTTTATTCCTTTGTTATAGCTGAAGTATTGGAGTTAGCTGGCAATGCTGCCAGGGACAACAAGAAGGGCCGTATTACACCTCGCCATATTTTGCTAGCTATTGCTAATGACGAGGAGTTGCATTGTGTAAGTTTTAAGAAACCTTAAAAATTAAGTAACCTATAATAAACAAAAAAAAAATATCACTCAGATTTGAAGCTTTGAGATTTACCTTGGCCAGATAACAATATTGTAGGTATCTTCATTTTAGTTAATTATTAATAAGAATAACCAAGATTGGTTAAATGTATGTACCTCAAGCAATTCTTTATTTTTGTCCCCTGTTACTAAACCTGAAGTAGAAGAAGTCATACTTTTCCCCAAACCAAAGCCATCGAGTGGCTCAGATGAAATTTCTTGATCAGAGAAACATATGATCTAGTTTCTGCTACATTGGCCCACCTGATAAATTATTCCTTTGAAGAAGGATCCTTCACATCTTCCCTAAAATATACCATCGTCAGGCCCATTCATAAGAATGGAAACAAACATAATTAATGGTAGCATCTATCGGCCAATGTTCTTAGTTTCAACTCTCTCCAAAGTTGTTGAACGTCTGTTTCTGAACAGGCTCTTGTCATTTATGGAGTAAAATAATAGATCTCATCTTTTCACCAGTTCGGATTCATAAAGGGAAGATTGACCCTCGACGCAGTTTATCATTTAATATCATTCTTGTCAAGAGCCTTGGATTCTGGAGACACTAGTAATAAATTTTTACCTGTCTAAAGTACTGGGTGTCCCAGAAAGGATTGCACTTTTATTTTGGGGAAAGCCGAATGTCCAAGAAAGATAAGAAAATGAGCTTATCAGGGTTTTATAGCCATGCCCGTGGAAAGTCATTTGCCATGGATGGCTTTGCCGGCAAGCAGCGTGCTTTCCGTGTACGCGACTATTACCAAACTCTTTCATTACGACACTTCCACGCTCAATACAGACTTCAAGATCTCAAACGAAATGCCATCATTGAACAATAATAGACCTTATAATTAAATGTTGGGTGGACAAATGTGAAGCTACAGGATCAACTATGAAACCTAGTCCTATCGGTTGCCATAGAGAAGCGCGATCTGAACAAAATATCGGGTGTGTTCGAGATGCTGTAGAGGATAATCGACATCGATCAGTAAGAAAACACGCTGCTGCTTTGAGTATACCCGAACCAGTATTCACCGCATTTTGAAACAAGATTTGAAGTTTCACCCGTACAAAACTCAATTAGTACAGGCATTAAAAAATACAGCATGGGTATACAGCATGAGACTCCACGACTTCAATAAGGAAGCTGTTTCGTGGGAAAGTCATTTCCAGATTTAGTGACAATAGCTCTCCTTCAAGAAGCCCACACCTAACTCCACTAGATTTTTTTGTGGTTGTATCTAAACAGTCAGGTGTACAACAACGCTCCTGCTACCCTCAATCATCTAAAGCAAAACATTCGTGAGGAAACTGAAGCCATCTCACCAGAACTCTGCTGTCGAGTCCTCGCAGATGTAAGGTTTCGTTTGGCGGAGTGCCGGCACCGTAGAGGTCTACATCGGGAAGATGTAATCTGTCACAAGTAATTTCCCTGAATTGTACAAACATGTATTCTTGGAAACATTGCTGTAAATAAAGCCATTTTTCTGTTTTGTTAGTTTTAAAAGTGCATTCCTTTCTGGGACACCCAGTATTTTATATGGTTGATCAAGCCACTCTCCTGGACAAACTTTATCGTCTTGGAGTACGGGTCTTAGCTCACGAATGAGTGTCGTCCTTTCTTCAGGGAAGAACTCAATCAGTCCAGATACCTTTCATCAAGGAATTTGAAGTCATGCTACCTCTGCTTCGTCTGTTGTATTTCAGGGAGTTCCCCAGGGTTCTATCCTCCGTCCAATCCTTTTTTAGTCTTCATTAATGATCTGACGTTGTATCATATCATTAAGGAATATTAATAAATAGGCTGCTGTACTCCTTAAAAGAACTTGAGGATGAGCACCTCGTGAGATAGTGTATGTCCGCCATGCCATCCATTAAACCAAGTTTTTTGAACGTGGCCTAAAGTTTTAGTAAATATTCTATATAGTTTTATTTATTTTTTAATAAATTATGACACAATCTATCAGACTAGATCTGGCAAAGATGCAGAAAACCAACAGCTGGTACACAAAATTACGAAGAAAAATTGGTAAATTGGACAAAAAACGATGCAAAAGCCAGAAAATATATTGTTCTATCCCTTGAGACGAATCCTCTACTCAGAGTAAGCAATTGCTCTACATCAAAAGAGATGTGGGAGAAACTTGTCCAAATTTTTGATGTCAAGTCAACTGAAAATATAGGTCAACTGATATTGAGAAATAAGTTCCACAATACTTCTTGGGAACCTACCCTTGGAATGAATGGACATCTGGAAAAATTTGACGAAATCCAAAATATATGGGAGCCAAAAATGTCAAAAAGGAATACTTACAAAAATTAGGAGTGATAAAATGTTTTTCATGTGGCAAAATGGTCATCTATCTAAAAACTGTCGAACAGGTATAATAATTTGTTTTAAGTGTCACACAAAAGAACAAACAAATGAATGTACCCGTGAAATACAAAATGCTGCAATGATGACTCGATCAATCACCATGTGACAAACAGCAGCTGGGACTGGTTTTCCACTTACACACCATTTGATACTCGTAAATAGATGGACAGTGCTCGCCAAGGTGTTCATATTCAGGCCCTGGGGTCAGGAAAAATAGACGTTATGGTTTTTGATGGTAAACAGTGGACTTACAGGTAGTTTGATGATGTTTGGTACTGCCCTGAAGTTGCCTGTAACTTATTCTCTGTGAAGAAAGCAGGTGAAAAAGGCATTCACCAGACTGTGAAAAACAATGGTAAGTCATGGGTGTTTTCTGAAAACGGAACAACCATTGCTTTGGCTATAATATCTAATACAGATAATCAATTGTATAATATGGTTGTTAAGGTCATTCCACCAAAAGAATAATGTTTTATTTTGAAGAAAATAAATAATGATTTGCAGTCTTGGCATGAAATACTAGGGCACCAAGATCATAGATATGTTCTCACTTTTTTAAAATCACGAGGTATTGATGTAAGGTTTGATAAACCGTTTTGCAAGGGATGCATGTTGGGGAAATATCAATGATCTCCATCTATATCGGTGCTATTGCGAAAATCGCCATGGACGTCTGCTAAATGTTTGTTTACTGGCCACCTCTTCGTCCAAAATGAAAAATGACACACCAATCGAATCAGCATTGTCTGGGCTTCATGTAGCAAGAGCTTTGACTGCCTTTGTTTGTGTTTTTTTCTCTCGTGGTGGACGAGATGTCCCGAGATGACGTCGACAGTTGTTTGTCAACAATCAACATCTGTGTGCCTAGTGTGCCTTATGGTAAATCCGCCACTGCTTCTTCTGTCAACTTAGTGTGTTGCAAAATCAGTAAGTTAGTAATAAATAATCAGGTAATTGTAAAAGAAAACCTAGAGATAATATATGTGTACAACTGCTTCATGAGAGGTATTGACCATTCAGACCAGATGTTATAGGCTACGCCTACCTCGATGAGCGATGGACTGTTCAGTATTAGAAAAAGGTTGTATTACACATTTTTCAAGAATGATTTTGAACTTATATTTTGGAAAACTGTAGTGAAAAAGACATGAATACTGAATAGGTTTCAGTTCACATATCTATAACTGACAGTAGCCTATGTTAAAAGAGGTGCTTGTCCATAGGCCTAAGTATTAGTTAGCGGGTGGTGGAGTAGACAATCAGCGGCAAAATGACCAGTTTGGAATGGAAACCTTACCAGTATAAAGATAGAACCTGCTGTGTATGTAGCCTTATCAGTAGGCTATTGCAGCAGGTGGAAAAAGAAAGAAATCCTAAACCATATGCAGAGCTACAGTGCCTGAAAGGTGTACACGCCGCGTGTTTGGCCAACATAGGTGCTAGACGATGTTAGACCATTTAAATTTTTTAGGATAAGTGTATGTATGTAGTTTTACGTTGTAAATAGTTGGTGTTATCATTGTTCTTTGCCATAAAGAAAAACTGCAGGCTTCTTTCCTTTTCTTGTGCATGTTATGGCATTAGACGTTATATAGTGCATTTGAGTGAAGCGTAGACATCAAAACGCTCTGAAGACAATTTATTTCAAACCCTGAAAAGAAGTTTATTTTTCAAGGTAGGATTTTCAAATTTTGCATGCTTGCTAACAAATTTGTATACTACAAAAAAAAACCACAAATATTGATCAAATATTTGTTATTCATAGGCCTATAGTTAACTTGGTTGTACTCAAAGTTTTTATTTATTTATTTTGATTTTTTTACCTACATTTGGTAACATAAAAAATTCCATTTAAACCTTTATAAATATTATATTTTTATAAAGGCAATTTTATTAAAGTTCTAGAAAAAAAGGTTTTATCAAAATATTTACAAAAATAAAAAGGTTGTAGCCATTTTATAAAAGCATTGCGTTTAACTACAAAATGGCCTTGGCGGTTCTCGATTATACGAATGAAAAAATGCTGGCGGCTAGGGAACGGCAAGAAAAATCAAATGAACCTGGACAGTTGATTTTTGCCGATGTGTGTTTGCCAATGGAAGAACCAGATGTACATGGTCATCGCTATTTTTTAGTTTTTAAAGATAATCCAATTGAGATATTTTTAAAGGGTGAAACAGACTTCAAACCTCTAAAGTCACTTTTGGAAGTGAGTGCTATGCTTGGATACCTCAACAAAATAGGAAGCAATTTGATGCTAAGTGTCCAAAAAGGGATATTTGTTTGGGTATAGTAACTGTGGATATCGAGTATATTTCCCAGATAAGAACAAAGCTGAAGTTTGCCATGATGTAAAATTCAATCCTGAGCTTTGTAGAAGGAACGCTGATAAACAATATTTCAACATTGAAGAGAGTGGCAATGATATAGAGAATGATTCCCTTGATAGGAGGCAATCAATTCAAAATGATGAGACCAGAAAGCAGCTTGTTGACAGTGATCAGAACAATAAATTCCATGATGAAGATGAGCAAGATATTGTGTATCCAGGTACCAATGATGCTGATGAGCA